ATGTATTTTTTGGTCATGCTCCACCCCACAAGGCCACTGGAATAAGACACATCCTGGTGCAGACAGTCTCCTAAAGGTCAACAAACTCACCTCGGGGACAAGAGTCTAACTCAAATCCTTGTTCCTCTCGACGTGAAGCAAGGCCACGATTCCAGCTTTCCCACATCCCAAGGGAGGGCCACAAGCATCCTGCAGCGGGGGCTGGCTCTGTCTCTCTGCTTGAAGTGGTTCCATTTGATAGCAGTATTCCCAAAGAGAGAAAATAACTCTATAATAGAGTAGTGGTCAGAGCACTCAGGGGGACTGTGCGAAAGGCAAGTTCTGTTCTCCGCTCCCCTGAGAGCTGTGTGTAATTATTGATACAGACAGAGTGGGAGTTTCAGAGAGTGTGGTTTGGGGGTTTAGCTTTGAACAACCAACTAATAATTACAGCATTTTGCACTTGAGTTGTGTGAGAAGCCTTGTGTTGTTTTTTCAGAAAAAAATAATTCTGTATCCAACCGCATTTTTCAAGTGCCAGCTGGATGGTGTTTGTTAGCCTACTTTCGATCGTCATTAAAAGCCACAGAGGAGGGAAATAAGCATCACTCATCTTGCACGTTAGTAACTGGATGCCCTCTAGCGAGACTGTCACACTCTCAGATCTATCGGTTCTTTATTCCCTTAAAAGAGAGAACAAAAAGACTTTTACACCTTTCCTTAATGTAAAACTTAGGAGTGCATCCTGTAGTTAAGCAGAGTGTGTAATGCCCACTGAAAGCAGAATTTTATGCCTGCTCAGCAGAGGTTTTCACAGAAACTGGGGGCTGTAGTGAAAGGGCAGTCCTGGCCGCCTGTTCACTGGAGCGATTCGGAGAAACGTCTGCCTAATCGCCCTGGGCATTGGCATACAGTCTGTTCACAGCTACGCTCTTTATATTGATCTATATGACAAAAAGGGAGCTATCTTTGCAGAATTATCCTCATAGAGATTCTTTGCTCAAGTTTGAAGGATTATCCCAGCCTATAGACCGAGCAGTTTGTTTGCTGCCCTGCGCCAGGAGGTACGTGGGTTGTTCCCGCCCCGTCACTCATGTTGAAGGATGTCTGAAGAACATCCCTAACTGATTGTTTGCTCTCCCTGCCTGATTTTTGTAAAATGTGTCAGACAGCTGCGGCTAGTTTCTGTTAGCATATGTAGCGGGGTTTTGAAACAATGCTTGGGTTTTGAAGCTTCTCAGGAGCAGTATTTTTCTCATCTTCATTTGTTTTTATCAGTGTAAGGAAACAAAAATAATTTTCAAACAAATGTAGCAGGGAGAATAAGTTCTGAATGAGCAGGAGGGCCCCTGGCAATAACACCTGGATGCAGTCTCAATGGTCCTGATTTGGCTTTAACATTGACATTTTGGGAGAATGGATGTTTGCAAAAAATGTACCACCTAAAGGCAGTATGTCGTGCTGATACGCTTGCAAAGATTGCTAAAAGTTCCAGCCAGTACATGGAATAGACTTACGTAGTATGGTACTGGAGAGGTTTTGTCAGGGTCACAGAAGGACTTAACCCATGTCAGAAAAACGTGTTCTGCCAGCATTTCCATGTGTCAAATGTGGCAATGGTGAATTCTGGCCCACGGCACTTTCTACTGTCCGAGTCTTTCTCAAAATCCACTTATGCTATCCAGAGGTGTTTAAAAGCAGATGTAGTGTGGTGATATTTGATTTATATGAACTCAGTGACAAGATTTCCAGGAATTAATACTTAACGTTTCAAATATGTGGTGTGACTTCACCAGATAGTTTGCAGGGCATGAGAGTTGTTCTTCAAAACTGTAAATGACCAACTTAAATATTTTAGTATTAAATGCCTCATCAGTTTATTGAAATATTTGGGCTCTGTTAGTAGGACTCTTGGCATGTGAAAGTACACAAAGTTTCTTCTGTTGCTTTCCCCCACATCCTCTCTTAAATACTAAGACTTGGCTTACCTGAAAAGAAGCTATTATTTTTCTGCAATGTTGGAAGTTGACCCTGTGCTTATTGCTCTGAAAACAAACTCTCACCTAGAGAAGTGAGAGCGTAGCACTCGTTACCAGTTAACTGCATGAGCGCCTCAAGCAATGCAAGACTCTACCAGTCTTTTGCAAACACCTGTGCCTGGCCAGCCTGCTGTTTTACACCCATGTGGCATGGGTATAACTGTGAAGAAGTGAACGACCTTCAAGATTGCTGCTTTTATCCACTTTTCACTGTGATGTGGTGAGAAAGTACAACAGTCACTCAGTATCTCAGGTTGCCAGCTCAGATTACTTAAAATATCTTTGCGCACTAGATAGTCACGTCTTGTTTTGTTTTGTTTTTCTAAAGCCAACTGAAGATTTGCTTTACTGTGGGACTGGCAGGATGGTGGGACTGTACCATGGAGCTGAGAGATGATAAAGAACTTAAGGTTGCACAGGGGAGATAACAGCAAAGGTTAGTTTAAAATTGCCATGCAATTGGCATATTTTGGAATATAACTTGTAAGTGTATTTTTTTCTCTTGAACTATTTCGTATTTTATTAAAAGCCCAGTACATTTTCATTTAAAAACATTTTTCATTGGAAGTCAACTACAATATTACGTCCCAAGTAGCTATCACCCTTATCAATGCTTTGATATTTAGGTGCTTGCCAAATACAAATTGCGGTTCCACTTTCCTTTTTGTACAGTGTCTTACTAGCACGAACACTCAAACTGAAAACCGGGCTTCACTGACATCACAGAAAGAAGGGTCTCAGCTGAACACACGCATTGTAGCGTCTGAATGGCAGCCATCAGAGGGGAATTTGCAAACGCCAGGTGAGAACCCAGCCTCCCTGGCAGCATGAAGGGGAAGAGGGATGCAGAGGATGAGGTTCACAGCTTTCTGCCTCCCCCCTGCCCCTGGAACTGCCCAGGTCAGTCTGTAGGGAACGTAAAGCAGGGCTGGGACTGAAGCCTTCCCCTCCGCACCAGGTGCCAGTCAGTACACACTCACACAGGTGACCACTTGGATTCGGGTGCCTTGAGGAATGTGTCATTTCATTCAAGGCAACCCAAATCACTGCTTTGCCTCCTTTTTGGTGCTTCAGTGGAAAGGAGTTGAATCTAAGTCTCCTGGAAGTGCCCCAGCTCTTATTTTTGAGAATAGAGCAAATGGGAGGAGGAGGAGCGGGGTGCAAGTGATGTGTCTCCTCTAGTGAAGGCCCTCCATTTAGGATAAACTACTCGAGTAGGCACTAGAACAGAGTCCAGGAAAAATGTCTGCTGGGTACCTTCCCAGTTCATTGATCTGAGTCGTGTTTTCCAGCTCAGTGAAAGAATGAAATTCTGGAATGGGCAGTTCAGCACCTGTTTGTTCTTCACACAAACCGAACTCTTGAATTCTGCCACTGGCTTCCATCAGGCTCCTTTTCCTCCACCACATATAGAAATGTAAAAGATAAAACTCTAGAAGGGACAGGAAGGATTCACAAGGGCACCGAAAATAATTCATGCAGAACCACAGCACTGCTGTGGGCTGCTGTTGATACTGTCATGTTAGCAGTCATACTCGGTGCACGGGGCCAAAGAGAGGACAAGATATCCCTCACTATCACACAAACTAAAGCAGCATGACACGCTTGTTCTATTACGTTAACACTTGCAAGTTTTGTACTAATTCAGACACTGCTCGACATTCCAGACTTAAGAAATTAATGGGCAAGCCAGAAATAACATTTCATCATTGTAGTATATATAGTAGGTATGATTGTGTGTCTTTTTCCTACCTTCAGAAGTCAGGTAATGGGATTAGAACAGGAAGAGAGAAGTGACATGCATCATAGGTAAACAACAGTCATCAATCTCTTCCTGTGGCAGCATTAAAAAAAGTACAGTCACTCTAATAGGCTCTGGGATTCCCCATAATCAACTAGAACTTCAAATTTCCCTTTCTGAATATAAGTGGCTAGTACTAGAAACTTTTAATCAGCAAAGTGGAAGACTGAGAGGAATTATGTGATAGACTACTGCACCCAAGAATTTCTCTCTTAGAAAGAAAAGATAAATGAAAGTGAAAATATACTTGGTGAACCACTTAACACTTCAAAATTATTTTTGAAAATTTAGTTTTCATAGTAAGCACACCAAGGTATAAAGCACACAGTCCGTAACTTGCAAAACAGTTTTATTTCACACTTACACAAAGTTAATAGGCATTTTAAAACACAGTACTATAGGTTACATCTACTGCCACTGAATATGTTAATAGGGACTTCACAGGTCTCTTGAGTTTTCCAGGGTGCTGCACAATCCCTGTTCTCCCACAGGTTTAAGCCTGCTTCTGTACAGGTTAGAGAGGGGCTATTTAGAGTTGCTCAGAGTACAAAACTCAGAGGACCTGGGCAGAATGTGCCAGGTCCGCAGCTGCACGCCAAGAAGATAACATAAATGAACACTTCTTTCTGCTCCTGAAACTTAATTCTCCCCCTGCTGGGCCCTTAGAGCTCATGAGAGCTGAGGCAGCTGTAATGAGGAGCTAATCCGGGAGTTGGCTCTTCCATCTTCGACAAACCTTGTTAGTGCTGTCAAGCAGCAGAAGCTGCCTGAAGAAAAGAAGGATCTTAACAGATACTGGTGAAATATTGTTCCTTCCCTCCTCTTCCCATTGAACCCTTCTGACATTTTGCTACCTACTTGCCACTTCACTGTGAGCAGTAACAAACTCTCCTTTAGGTGCCTTATTAGAGACAGATGCTATTTAGGATTATACCATTTCCCTGCAGTTTTGAAGCCGATTGTCTAATCAGGACCCAAGGATAAACCCTCCTGCAGCACCACGTAATTGGATGTCATGTTGTGTGTCACTGCTCTGTCACCATAACACAGGAGGAAATGTGGCTCTCCAGTAAATCCTAGACTGACGGTATATGCAAGAAACATTCAAGAAAATGAAGGTACTCCTAAAAAAACCCCAAACCTGTGATGTCTGAAATTAATTTGGATTGCACATCACTTCAGATGTGAGTCCTCCCTGCAGCTTAACTGTAAATAGCCAAAGACAACATGTACTCTAGTGTGCCACAGAACTGAACTTTTTAGATACCTAAAATCCTGGCGTAACAGCAGCTCTGTTATGTCTTGGGAATGAGAACAATGGCTCGGGATGTTGACTGGTCATACGATAAACTTCGATAATCCAAGCAGGTTACATTCAAGTAAACTAGGTTTCAGATGGTCAGATAAACAGAGGAACATCTACTGATGGCACACAGTTCCAAATGAAGAACCAAATCTGGTTATCTACACTTGCTTCCCATTAGGTCCCAAAACAACTTGCCATGGGAAAAGTGTTTCATACAGAAATGAAGACAGATATGCAATTGGTTTTAGAGTCTTTCATGGAAATAAACAAAAGGAGATAAATACCAAAAGATAACCTAAAAGCCTTAAAAGAAATAAAAATACTGTGCTTGTACCTTTGTTCTGTAGCCTTAGGAAAGTCAGAAGAGGCCTTTACCAGCAGCAGTGGTAATCTTCACATCTCAAGTGAAATGCCTTTTAGTTAAATAGCTGAAACACAGCATTCATTATCCAAAATGGCAATCAGTGAAATTATTGAGGGGGAGGGGAAGGGACCCTGTCTTGCAGGTTCAGTTCATCCTTTTCACTTCTGCAATATCTCATTTTAACTGTTCTGGGTACTGAAGCCTCCCTTTCCCAATTAACTTTGTTGAAAAAGAAGAATGAACCAAAAATCTGTCCTTTCAGATCTTTATATGGCAAAAAGTACACAGGAGACGCAAGCCCAGTTTTTAAGTCTTTTCCAGGTTATCTTTTGGAGCAGCTGTATAGCAAGGCAACAAGTACTAATATAAGCTAGTTTTCTTCATGATCCTCAAAAATTCTTGCTCACTTACTTCTCCATCTCCATCTCGATCAGCTTCATCAATCATTTCCTACAAAACACATTGTACATTTGATCAGGCACTGGACTCTAAACACAAGACCTTCTATTCATTAAAACAACAACAAATCAGAAGCACTTCATGTGAAAACATAACTATGTATTTGATAGCTCTTTGTATTTCTGACCTCTCGGCCCTTTTTGTATAGGCATAAATTTCCACCCAATCCTTAGGGGCTATGGGATTGGTCTGTGCCTGTTAGAAAAGCTCTAGCAAATTGGAATTTACCTGAAGCTCTTCATCTGTTAAATTTTCTCCCAGCTCCTTGGCAACCCTTTTCAAGTTTTTGAATGAAATTTTTCCTGTCCCATCATCATCAAATAATCTGAAAGCTTTCAAGATTTCTTCTTTTGAATCCTTTTCACTCTAAAACAAGAGTAAAATGTACATTAATTAGAAAACACCTGCCACCGAGATACTCTTCAATATTTTTTTTATGCTGTCACAAGAATTTCTATTAAGAATTCCTACCATTTTTTGCGTCATCATAGCCAAAAAGTCTTCAAAGTCAATGGTGCCGCTTCCTTCTTTGTCAATATCTGCTATCATTTTCTTAATTTCTTCCTTCTTTGGCTCAAAGCCTAAAGCGCGCATCGCAACCTGTGCCAAAAAACAATTCCGTTAGGAGGCCGCCAGAATTACAGTGTCATCAGCTGCACTAAAGCTTGTTTAATTTCCTCATCCAAAACTGTAATAATAACTCACTGCAATGAAAATATCTTGATATATCTTACCAGCTTGTTTCATCTTTCCAAACAGTAATAGTGTAGGTTTGATATCCTTAAGACTCAGACCTATTTTCTCTTTAGATCCATGTGGAACGTGGATATATTTCTGAAGCTAAGAGAAACTTTTTGTGTCCAAATTAGGCCAAGGTTCCAATCCACATAGTTCCTAAAGGGACTGGATTATCAAAATGGGACTTCAAGGGAGGTTGGAGACCAGGGATGTGATGTTGTTCCATTTGAAATTGAGGGCAGAATGCCTGTTAATTTTGACGGGTGCAGAATTACATCAGTTAACTTACATAATCCAGTACACAGAGATAGAAGAAATCCATATGCATAGCTCTTGGCACTTCTGGCTAGGTGGTGGGGAGGGCGGAGCAGGAGGGGGTAGGAACTGACAATGCTCCCTAAGTGTCTGAGCCTCAGCAAAGCAAAGAGTTGACTGCTGTGCTAGTTGAGGAAAAGAAAAGCAAACTTTCTGAGCCTTACAGAGCCCAAGCAAAGTATTACTGTAAAAACAGTTGTGTAAATTATTGTACAAATGCTTAATATTAACATTGTTTAAAACCAGGCTCTGGCATTTCACTAGCCTAGAACAATTAGTTTGCTACTTGGGTGTTTATTAGTAATTTCACAATCCTGGTGTACCAGATGATTACAGCGTATTTAATTCAGAGATTGAAGTTTCAAGAAAACATAACTAGAGGAAGATTTGAACTGTGAACATTCATTCTTCTTATGTGCTCTAGTGGAAATCAATCGTTAATATTAGGCAGAAATTTTCTCGCTGAACACTCTTCTACTGGAAGGTGCCAACCCACCAGAAACTCAACATTTAACTGAAGTGTTTTCTGACCAGTTTCTTGCGATGGGACAACTGAAAATGTTACGTTTTGTCTTTCAGAGGGGAACACTTTCTGTTGTAAAATATCCATTATTTTGAATTAATTTTGAAAAACACAGCATTAAATGGTTGATGCTAAAATGTTTCAGTCCATTCTGAGAACTGTATTTTAACATGTATCATCTGTGTTCAGAGAACACGCTTTCCTTAACTAAGGGTAAGTACTTCCAAATAAATCCTGAGATAAGCCACAGGCTTAGGTAACTCATGCTTCTAGGTTACGTATGCAGAAATTGAGGCAGAGTGTGTGTATCTGAGAAATCAAGGTCAAGGAGATAATTAAGATAAAAGGTTCACGCTTAAAAAAAGATAAGACACGTAAAAATATAGGGAGAGAACTGAAAATAATCTTCTCCCTTGTCCTACTGTGTGTATGCATGCGTGCACACACACACTACCTGAATTGCTACTAAAATGCAACTCAGATCTCTGTTTTGTTCTTCCTTAAATTAAGAAACAGGAAATTTTTGGATTATGTATATGAAAATATGGTTGTATCTTTCCTGAATGTGTGCAAAATCTGAGTGTTTAGTTCTGAGATGAAGAAAAAATTTGATATGCTGACATTCATCCCAGAACAACAAAAGTCCACTTCCCAGAAACAAGATCTTAGCCAGTCATGAAAATTGTGTACTGTGTGTACCTAAACAGAGGAACTGTTTAGTTCCTCTAATGCTCAGATATTCAAAGCTATCTGACCTACTGTCCATGTGTTAGAGAAGCCTGTCTGCTCTGAAGTATTACATACTGAGCTTTCTCACGTTAACTATGTAGTACACTCCAAATTCAGTCATGACAGCAAGCCATTACTCTTGTCTGTACTCCAAAACTATTTTAAAATACTTAGGGCCCGACAAACAGGAATTGCAGCTACAATCTTGAGACCATTTTTCCATCCAAGAAACAAAAGCTTGAAAACCTTCAGTTCTTTTATGTCGATGCTTCCAGATCCATCAGTATCAAACAAATCGAAAGCTTCTCTGATCTCCTGCTTTTGGTCTTCTGTAAGTTCAGGTTTCAAGCCACTTTTCTTCCGCTGGGCTGTACCTAAGCCAGGTTTTCTATAGTTGGATGCCTTCAGAAAGTGAAGGAGAGAAAAGATAAGAAATAGCTCACTCCAGGGAAAATTCAAAACACAACTAAATTATAAATAACAACAGTAAAGCTGTAGCAGAAGTGAGAGACATTCTTTGCTTCAAGTGGTAGACACTGGGTCTCTGTGCTTATTTTCTTACATTATTCTAGAAAGAAAACAAGCTGAAGACTTTGCTACTGGGGAATATGCATTTGGACTTCATGGTTTCTCTTTTAAACAGAAAGATCATCAATTAAAGGAGTAATGCCAGAAAAACAGGTGGGCAGCCTGAAAATGAACACTCCACTGAGGTCACCAAGACCCTCTGCACGTCCTGCTGGTTGCTTTGATGTGTCAGGAGTGGTTTCACCTGGAAAACAGGAGTAAATCATCCTCACAGCTAAAAAGGTTGGTTGCATAGGGTCTTGACTGTAAGTGGGACTCAAATTCAGCCACTCCTCAAAGTCAGCACTGAAATGGGGTGTCCGAGAGCATCAGCTCTGTTGGAGCAAAGTTTAAAGGGAGCTGCATAGCTCTAGCCTGCCTGTCCACCACCGAGCTGTGGTTCTAGGTAACAACATGCTGTGGCAGCAGTGAGATCAACACAAAATCTGTCCCATAAAGAGAACTAATCTGCTTGTGCTGAGCTGGTGCATTATTATCCAGGACACTTCTGAGACACTCTCCCCCTCCCACTGAGCAGCAAAAATATTTTCCTCGAGTATAGGTTTTCTTCTAAACCAGCAGCAGACAGATTTTAGTCCTCCGGTCTTCAATCTGCACAGATTAATGGGAGGAAGGGCAATCCCTCCCACCCCCAACTTTAACTGGTTGGACTTTATAAAAGTAAATAAATACCAAGAAAGGAATTTGTTTTCTAGCTACTGCTGTGCAGTCTCTTAAGTCTGCTGAATTGTTAACCATTTTTGGATCTGTCTTTTACATGCCCAGTGTCTAACACAGAAGATTCCATTTTGTTGTATTCGGAAATGAAATTTCACTTTTTAACATGATTTGTCCCTCCCGGGTTGGACTGCAAACCAATCTGTCTGGCACACCTCTGTCTTCTCCCTGCTATTAACACAGGCATCAGATTTTTACTACTTCTGTTCTACTCTGGGAGAAACCCATGTGAGACCTCTTCCTGACCATAAAGAAAAATATACCAACACGCTACCTGAACCTCTTTTCTTGCATCCTGCGTATGCACCTACAAATCTGGTGAAAACGTTCAAGATCCTGAAAAGTAGCATACACGTTGCTTCCTGTTCCATTTACTTAAAAACTTGAGTTGCTCAAAATCCATTTTTATCTTTCAGCTTCTCGCCTGGCCAGTGCCATTTCAATGTGCTACAGGGGACCCAGTGAAGCGGAGGAGGTCAGTAAACTGCGCCAAAATTAACCAGGCATATTTCCTCCGGTTTACCCCACACCCTGCAACGAGGTGACGGATTTTGCGATTCCCGGTGTTTTACCGGGGGTGTTTTTCCATAGTGCCGAGGGTTTTTTTGGGGGGGTAGGGGGGTCTCCTTTCCCTTTTTGGCCGGCGTGTCGACTTCCGCGTTGTGTGAGGAAACCGAGCAGCACAGACCGTCTCGGCAGCCGCCCGCGCGGTCCCCGCAGCCTTAGAGCCCAACGGCTGCCGGCCCGCCCGAGGCCGGGGATCGAGCAGAGGGCTCCGGGAAGGCGCCGAGGAGGGGCTCGGCGGGTAAGCGACGAGGGGAAGGGGAAGCCCGCGGTGAAGGGAAGGACGCTCACCATCGGGACCGCCGCTCCAGGCTCGGCCCGCTCGGCCCCGCCGCTCCTAACGGCCCGGCCCGAGCGCACCCACCGCCGCACGCAACGAACGCGCTTGCCGTCCAATGAGCGAGCCGGGCGTCCCGGAGAACCCGCCCCCCCTTCCCTAGCCCGGGCCAATGGCAGCCGGCGGGCTCGTGATGTCAGAGGGGGAAGCCCCGCCCGCTGGGTCAACAAACGAGCGGCGGCGGTGTCCTGGCAACGGGGCGCGCGCGGCGGCCGTTGGCGGCGCGCGGCGGGGCTGCCCGTTTGCCTCGCCTCAGCCCATCTCACCTCAGCCCGGCCCGGCCCGGCCGCGGGGAGCGGGGCCAAAGGCAGCCGAACCGGTGAGAAACCAGCACCCTGCCTGCTGTGGGGACGGCTGGGGGCCTGGGCCGGCCCTCCAGCCTGGTTGGAAGCGGCCGGGCCGCCGCCAGGCCCGAGTAGGGCAGTTGCGGGGCGGCTGCCGAGCGGCCTCGGCTCCTGCCGGGGTGCCCGCCGCGAGGGGCGCGGGGCTGGTTCAGCGTGGGCGTTTGGGTTCGGCTGCACTAATCTAGGAAGCTCTTTCTCTTCCGAAGTTACTGATAATAGTGCTGGCTCTGAGGTAGACCAGGTAAGTCGTGACAGTTAATCTGAACACTCGGTAGTTTAGTTGCAAGCAGAGAGTTTTCTACCCGTTTCCCATTGATTGTGCACCAGTGCTGGCTCGAGACAATGTGTGCGCATGCATACACGCGAGCAAGGCTTTATTGACAGCATTTCACAGAACTACATTAATTTGGAAGACTGATCTAAAATTTTGTTGTTGAGGAGCTGTAAGACAAAGCGAATAATAAGTGTTTAGCATACCTCTTCTATCCCAGAGTTTTTCACTTCAGACCCCTAAAACCTGTGCGTATAAACATAAACTGAACCTAAGGTCAAGTCTTATTTTGCTTGCAGAGAGGGGTGATGAGGCAGGCAGCAGTAGGTCAGCCTGCAGGTTGGCTCAGCACAAGCAGTAGTTGGTGTCTCACACATGGCCGTCCTTCACTACTACTTTGTTCGTTCATTCTCTGGGATGCCTCCTTCACTTTGCTGACCTCACTTGTGTTTGACTCCGAAATGTAATGCCACTTGACCCTTTACCTTTTCCACCTCAGACTGGATGGAAAAAGAGGTGGGGGAAAAAGAAGTCAGGGGATGGGGGGATGAAAAGTTGAATTTTGGGTCTGCTGTATATTGGTTCCTACAGCATAGGATAGCGTGGTGTTCTTGCTAAAATAACACGTATAAAACAAAAGACGGGGGGGGGGAGTATCACAAAATCCTAAATCACACATGCCAGAGGTTGTGCAAGCAATGAACTAAAAACATTCTTTCCTGTAAGTGCATGCTCTGCCTTCATCTGGTTTTGCAGCCAAGCTCTGGGTCCATTTGGTTCACATTTATGGATCTGCAGGAGTACAGGCTGGTGTCCAAAATGAAGCTACAGTTTTGAAGTATGAGTTTAAGCTGAAAGTAAGGGGCACATTTTTCAACTTAAATTTTAGAGAAAATTTTAGCTATGCAAGTTGTAGTTGGTTGCGCTGAGGTTTGGTGAAAGTGCACTGACTTGATAGAAGGTGCTGGACTAACTCTAATCTGTCTCATAACCAGTCTTGGTTTTGCATTCGTTGAAATAAAAATGCCATTCTAATAGGACAGTGGCTCATATTGCTGAGCTGAACCCTCATTTGGGACTGACTGGGGAGTAAGAAGTTCACTGAAAAATCGGAACCCCTTTCTCACCAGTCCTTCCATAGTTGTCTCCCATCCAAACTGCATGGCCTTCTGCCCAGAGCTATGTGTCAAGGACCTCGGTAGTGAGAGAGCATTACTTGGCCTTTCAGCATAGCTAATTTAGCTCTTTCCTAAATTGTATGAAGAGAACCACAAATTGGTTATTTTTCTTTCTATCAAAACAAGAGCAGGTTGAGAAGTGACCATTACTACTTGAAAACTGCTTGAATTCAGAAACAGTGATCTCGGAGGAAAAAAAAAGAAAACAAAAAAAACCCCCACCAAAATCCAACTGAAAAAACACCAAAAGCGATTGTCTTAGTAAATTCTTAAGAGAAATCAGATGGGATGATGAGTTTTGGGGAGAGTGAGGGAAACATGTTTCATATTAGATTCCATGATCCAATGGTTATTATTTAATTGCTTCAATTTTTTTGTTTGTTCATTTCAAAACAAGCTACCTGCAATATTAAGCTAAGGATTCCAGTTAAGAAAAAAGAGATTATTAATATTATTATTATTATTACTGGAAGTACTGATATGGATACATAGCTTGACTAGACCATTATCGCAAGACATTGCCAAGAAAAATTTCCAGAAAAACCCTTAAGCAGGTTGGATGGAGGTTTTTGGATGGGCATTCCCAGTGCAGTTTTAAAGTCAAAAGCACCTGCTTATCTAAAAGTCCTTTTCTTAAATTGTTGATTATGGATAACTACAGACTGAAACAATTTCTTGGTTAATGATTCTTTTGGTACTTCAAGATGTATCTAGTAACTGAAGGGAAAGTCTGTTGTCAGTTTGGGCTAGACTAGAACTTCAGGTCTGTCAGCATGTAAAAGTTACTTCTGACTGCCTACTCTGCTTTTTAAATTCACACTTTGTCTTCATTTGAGATAATATTCAGATGGAGTTTCACTTGAGTGGGACAGAAAAAGAGTTTTTTGGATTTGGAACAGCTATGCAAAGGGACCTTTAGGGAGATGAAATAAATTATTTGAATCTAAGCATAAAAGGTTTATGGCTAAGGGTTCTTAATTCCTGGTGTGTATACTTTTTCATTCAAAAAAGAAAAAAAAAAGGAAGCTTTAGTTTAATCCGTGTGGTCTGCCACAGGACTGTGGTGTGGAAGGGATTTCAAGGGAAAGAAGATTTATTTTTGGCATGTTAAAACTGAGTAGTAGATCAAAACTTGGCAGTCTTGGCAGTTTGCTTTGTGAGGTATGAAGAAGTGGCATTCCTTTTCGCGCACATTCAGTGAAGTATTGATGTGCTAAATGGAATAAATTGAATTGGAATAAAGTTTGATTATGTTTTTCTAGATATGAATGTTAAAAGTCAGTGACATAACTATCGGTACCAAGATGGATCTGTACGGAGCACTTCTGTTTTGCACATAATTGTCCATTCTGCTCTAATGAACTTTTCCCCTAAGTAAGGCAAATAACTGAAATTCCAGATAGCAGTTCAGGAGGGAAATGGTAGTTCTATACAATCTGCAAATTCTATACAATACACTGAAATTAAGAGCACTTTACTATCTGCCAGCAAGAAAAAATTCTGTGGTGTTTTAGCAATGCACCATTTCAGCAACTATGTGCATCGATGTCTCATAATAAGTGCACGGGATGAAGAACTGTTTATACAGAACGCCTCACAGGAGAGCTGTGTTCAGCGTTAGATTGTTAATTTAATTGTTGGTGATATATGCCCTGGAGTGCTGTGAGAATGGGGCAATAAGTCTGTGTTCTGTTCACAGATGCTGCCTGCTGCCCATGGCTTTCCGGGATGTGAATGCAAGAAGACATATTGGACTTCAGCAACTCTCATCCTTAGCGTTAGCTGGAAGAACATTATTGGGGCCAATGAAATCATGTAAATTCATTGTGGATGAAAGCACCAACCAAAGCACATTGATTGGTTCTGCTGTTAGACTGATTGAAAGTTTGGATTTAACTAGCGCTGCCGGACAGCTTCTTAATGAAACCATTCAGGCACAAAACAAAGAGTTTAAGACTGGGATGAGTACCCTGTTGTTTCTCATTGGTGCATGGAGCAATGCCGTACTGGAGTGTCTCCAGCAGAACGTTCCTGTTTCAGCAATAGTATCTGTGATGTCTGAGGGCTTGAACTCTTGCTGTGAGAGAGTCCAGTGTCTTCAAATACCAATACACGATGTAAATAAAGAGCTATGTTCTAGCAGTGTTAGGCCAAACACTTTTAAAAGTAAAACTTGCCAAATTGGACACGACAGTCTTCTAAATCCTCAGATTTTCCTGTATTTTCAGAAAGATATTTCTGCACCAGAAGAAGTAATTCCAATAAGTTCTTGTTCCTATCAAGAAGATGATTGTAATTCTAACAAGTGCCTGGTTTCACCTTTGGCTGGCTTTGGTTCAATAGCTTCTCTTGTCAAACCAGCGGGTGACAAAAGTACATCTGTGATTTCTGGAAGTGGTGTTACCACATCCCGCTGTAACAAGTTAACCCATAGCAGATACTTCAGCACTCTAGGAAAAAGCCATTTTTCAAGTCAGCAAGGTAATTTTCAGGGATACCTTTCAGGACAATCAGCAGATCCATGTGAATGTTATGGTTTAGGACACCTGGCAATGGCTCTGAGCCATGGAAATCAGGCTAGTGTGAAACTGTTACAAAGCATTGTTGCGTACCAGCAAGAGAGAGCAGAATGCAGTGGCTCTTCCCAGTTTAATATTGCAGAAATTGTGACGTGTTGTTTACTGGGCCTGCCTGAAAGCTATTCTTGTGTCTCCCCAGGCTTTGTCACGTTAGTATCATCAGAGCAAGCCACAGTTATCAAACACTTCAAAGACAAACCCCTTCGGATTCTGCTAATGGATGGTGACCTAACTGAACAATATCGTCACTTAGGTTTTAATAGACCGTGTAATGTAAGGACCATACTGGAGCATCCTAGCCTGTGGGAAGGCAGAGCAGGGGACTTGTGGCTAAGCAGTATGTTAGATATTCTGATAAACTTTGAAGTAAACTTGGTTTTGGTCAAAGGAAATGTGTGCAAAAACTTAATGGAAAGATGCATAGCAAACAGTATATTGGTAATTGGTTTTGTGACTCGGGATGTGTTGCGTGCCTTTGGGGAGGTCACCAGCGCCCAGCCAGTGACATACCTCACCCAACTGAATGCATCTTGTGTGGCAAGTGGAGCCCAGGTGGAGCTGTGGAAGGCCTGCGATGGGCGTGCAATGGATCTGGGTGAGCTTGTGCCGGTCAGGATAAAAGTACAAGGAATTCCCCTGCTCACGGCCGTGCTTACCACCGCTGTAGCTTCGAAGATGCAGCTCATTGAAGACCAGTTCTGGACTTTAGTGTATAGACTCCATCATGCTTTAAATGACAAGAATGTTTTTCTTGGTGGTGGTGCAGTGGAGCTCTTGTGCCTTAGTCACATTCAGATGCTTGCAGAACAGCCTTTACAGCCAGCAAATAAAAATGCTGTGAAAGAGTTTCACAATCCTTGGCTGGCAGCATCTGTGACAGAGTATAAATCAGTTGTGCTCCAAGCATTAGCAAGCGGCTGGAAGCAGTATCTTGCAGTGGTTATGTGTAACACTGCAAAAGCTGCATCGGAGTTGGAAGCGTGTACCACAGTTGATCATCACCTCAAAAAAGCAGCTGACTGTGGCTCTCCCTCAGCATATATATTGAAAGAGTTTAGAAGAGGTGATCTGCTCAGGGGTGGTTCTGGTCCCTTCACTGACCACGGAGAGGGTTTAAAGGTTTATGACAATGTTACAGCCAAGACGGAGGCATGGCGGAGAGCTCTAGACTTGGTGCTACTAGTGCTTCAGACAGATGCTGAAATTATCACAGGTCCTAAAAGGAATCAGCTATTGAACTCACATATGTCAAGTGAGTTTATGTTTTTATAGGACTTGCAGGCTTTATTTATAAGTCCATGAGTCAGTGGAAGAAGTCCAGGTGCAACCTACATTTCTTCATAGTTTATAAAGCAAACATTTAGATTTGGTTATGACTTTAGAGTGTAACAGCGGAAATCAGAATGTGAGACAGTCACAAGGTAAATATAATTTCCCATTTCTAGAAGTGGGGGTTAATTAACAAACAAAAATCACTTGTGGGCTTATCTCCAACCCCAGCCATGCATTTCTAACTAATGATATTGTCTGTATGGATAGATTAATCCAGTCAAACTGACTAATCTTATTTAGCAGAGCAGATGTGCAGTTCTTTTTTTCATTATAGTGAGGAGCACTGGGCAGGTGGGTACTTGTCAAGTCTAGCTGGGGAAAAGTTTGATTCCTTGGATATGCTTGCGTTCTGAACATGTGCTGCCTGTATTAGGTATTTGGACTTGTGTTCTGTAAATTATTCTTGTTTAATGTCTTTTAAGGTCTTCTAAAGAAGGGTAGGGATTTCTTACATACCATTGGCATACTTGTGTTAAATGAAAGAATATATATAACGTAATCAATTTTTAGTTAATATCTTGCTCTTAATTTCTGTAAGTTGCAAATGTAAGATTTAAAGTTGCAATAATGAGCGTTACATTTTACACTGTGAGAATGTATTAGTATATGCTACTTTTGCATATTTATGTGGGCTATATATCTCCTATTTTCAAATATATACTCTTTGGAATTTCTGTCGTTTTGACATAAATTCAGGCTGAATCCTCCTTTTTGGTATTACAGACTGGATGTATCTCTACACAAAGTTTTCTTTTACATTGCGAGTTGGATTTTTAGGTTATTTCCTTTGGGCTCTTTCAGTTACCCTTGCAGAGAGGAAAATGTTGTTTATGTTTTAGCCGTTGGCTAAAAACTGAAAATGAATCTATCATGATGATTGAGGCAAGGCATTTTTACTGTGTTTCAGCACTTAACATTTGAAAGCAGATCCATGGAGAACTGGCACTTTGTTGTAAGAAAGAGGTGTGTAACCATGGAGATATTTTTTCTGAACTTGGCATTCCGAATCACACTTAAAGTGAAATGTCTCACCAGTCCGGTGAAAACAGCACGGAAAAAGGATGGAAATGGTGATACCAAAGCGGATCCTTGCTTTTAGGAACTTTTTCATTAAAATGCTAATGGCCGGTGGTACTTGCATTAAGCACTTCTTGTGATTGCTGGTGCTGATGTCAGACGGTCCTTTTGTGGTGAAAGCCAAGAACTGGGGTGGGCTAAAGAGTGTTTTCTGAGATGTGATTTGGTGGAAAGGCAGACAGAAAGCGAGTGGTTATTTTACTGTTAGAACCTTCACTGCTACTTATTTACTGTCTTAAGTGGATGTTTTTTCTTCTGGACTTATTTTCCTTGCTGTATGTCCTCACTGCAGAAGACATCTTGGAGAAGAGCCATCAGCTGCCTCAAACCCCCATGACCACTAGCAGTCCCCCAGTCAACTCGTACTGAGCCTTAACACAGTTCTCTGTCTCAGCGCCCTGTTGGAGTTGCCCTTTCCTCCTGGGAAGACCCTTCCCTCTACCTGTGCATTTCATGGTGCCTAATTGCAGGGGGCTTGAGTTAATGAAAAGGAAAGACAGTTCCTAAAATGCTTCCCATGTGGTGCTAACACTTCAGCATTATATCCCATTATCATTGTCAGTAGATATTTCACAGTATCTGATACTTTTCTACCTCCCTCATGTCCTCCAAATTTTTTTTCTTCCTTTGATGTCTTCATCCCCATAATATATAATTCCATAACCTACAATGCATTCTGCTAAAAATAGCCCTTTTTGAGACTTGCTTACAGCTTATGGGTCTCCATAGCTGGGAGTTTCCTGGAGAGGTGGGGTAGGCTACTGAGGTTCTAAATTAACCTTAAGCATGAGATGAAATCGGGATCCTTATGAACAGCTTTTGAGTGTTGAACTGACCAGAAGCCCTAACTTCATTTTTATGAAGAAAAGACTCCATCTAAATACATTTTATCCTGGAGCTTTCTTCTATGCTAATATATATTGTATGAAATTGTATACTCGGATCTTTCATAAAGCTGTGGTTCACACTAGGTGAATAATTGATATATTCAGTATATAAGGAAAAGAAGGACAGAGATAATGAAATTCATCCTCAAATATGGTTTAGATACATATAGGTATACATGTGTATTAAAGTAGTGTTACACAGTATATTTTCAAAGGTTTCATTCTCCTTGCTGAATTGCATATTTTTATTTTTATAGTTGTATTTTATTCGCGCATAACTGGAAGGCTCTTACGGAGGTTAAGGGAGCATATTAATAGCAGTTGCCTTTTAGAAATATGAGAAAAACTTTTCTTTGTATAGAAAACTATGTTCATAGTATTTAGCCGTCTCTGACTTGAAACTGTAAATATTTTGGTTTTCTAACAAACTGCAGGATTCAGTGGATTTTGGCAAAATCTCATCAGTACTGTAGGGGTTTATAATTTTAATTTGAAACAGTAGTTCCTAACAGCATAGGGATCTAGTTATATTCAAGTTTTGATCATCCTGCAGTTATATTTTCATTATTAATCAGTTGGCAAGTGATGTTTAACTGCTTGGCCACACCCATGGTGTACTAAGACATGAGGGAGAAAGAGTTTGGTAGATCAAAAGAGGCAGAAGGAGCTAGTGGCTCTTCGGTGGAAAAGAAATGGAAACGCAGCATATAAATAAATATATAACAAACTCTGCTGCTCTGCAAGTGTTTGCAGCTCGTGTTTGGCTTTATACTGTTTTTCTTGAACCTCCTGTACTGAGCATTGCATAATCCCTGTTCCCAAGAAAAGATCCAGTTGCACTTTATTTGAATAATAGAGTTAAGTGGATTATGGAAAAAGTGCATACATGAATTGTATTGAGGTGGTCCAAACATCTATTTATAGGACTCTTAGACACTGAGAGCTGACGCACCAAATGTTCAGAAAATCCAAAATGATGTAATTTTTCCAATCAGGCTTTTAAAAAGCACATAATGATAGATTTAAATATTGTGATGCAGAGGTTTTCTAAAAAGCTGTCAGACATTATATTTTGATTATTTAACACTTGGTTTTCTACAGGCCAATGAAATGGAAAATCTTATAAACTAGCTAGATACTGTATCCTGGATTACTTAAAATTATTTCTTTGATATGCATAGAAGATTAACATGCATGCTGTCCTCAAGGCATGCTCCTTCTGCAGTGTGAAATACAATATACACATGTGGCTTCCTCAGCTTCAAATCTCTCAAACCTCTTTGCAATATAGAATGGAGGTCCTGTGCGTGTCTGCCATGGCTCTCAGCGCAGGGAATGATTTCAACAACTGCCATGGGCGATTTCAACTTCTCCCGGGGAGAGGCTCCTCCTAGGGTACACAAAGGCTGTTTGTGTAGAGTATGATGTGATGGAAGAGCTAAGCTTGTACATGCCTGGGAAATTGGGAAATGGCAGAGATTTTAGGGAAGTGATTGTCCCAAGGAGTAGGCAGTGCCTCACTCCCTGCTGAAACTCTGTGCTAGTCGGGTGCCTCGTTTCTCCCTTGCATCCAAGTATCGTCATTCCCGGCTCACTCCTCCTTCTCTTTAGGGCTGATGCCATCTTATTTAATGTTTATAAGGCCAACTTCTTAGGCCTTTCTGCTCCTTCATGATTTCCTGAAATGTGGTAGAGGTCTTAATCATAGCAGCAAGACCCTTGTCCCAAGCTGGGCTAGCCTGGAGGACACAGCCTGCTTGCAAATACTGGACCCATAAGGACTGACAGCCTGGTGATCAATGTTGTCAAGAGGCATCTGATAGTTTGCCAGCTACCAAATATGCTGAAAAAAATGAGCTAGGAAATGTAGGAGGCAATGGTCCTGAGGCAGGCCAAGAAATGACTGTGGGAGGGTGGAGGCTGGCGAGGTTAAGGTAGTTATGGAGCAGGAAGGGCTGAAGGAGAAAAACCTGAGCTTACAAGAGAGTTGGGAGAGTTGAGACAGTTTAATTGCATTGACTGACTTGATATCCCAGGCTGGGGCTGCTGAAGAGGCTGGGAGGACATTTCCCTTTTTTAGGGGAGGGAGGTAGAGACAGGGGATCTAGTCTAGGAGAAGAGTTATAGAGTGACAAGAGATTTTCAGCTCTGCTCACAAGGATGAGGTGACTGGTAGACCTGAGTTGCCCATCAGTTGCAGGAGGACTGATGTAGAAGGTGCATCTCCCTGAGGGGTGAGTTGTCCTGTCAGGGGAGACAGGAGACGCCTGCCAGTAAATTGAAGATTCTCACTTTGGTTCTTGTGCTGCTTTGAATAGAGAAAACCAAGCATAGGCTTGGATGGGGAACAGCTAAGGTGCTACCACTAGCATCATGTTTATGCTGAGGTATTTTGAGATGTGTCAGCTGTAGCTTCTGAGGCTGTAGTAGAGGTTAGCAACAAGAAGGCTAACAATGTAGATTCCACATGCTAGGTGAATGAAATAAACCCCTGACCTTTACAGAAGTGTGCCCATGCCAAATCTGAGTTAATTCATGGTTCAAGTGTTTGTCACCCTCACTCTGTCACTTCCTATATATACCTTTATCTTCTAATAAAAATAGAGCTTTACTGAAACCAAATTTTACTAGTGTATATCAGATGGCATAACCACAAGTATTATAGAGGTAGGAATGTGCTATAGAGCACTAGCTAGTGAGAAACTGGTGAGGTGTGTTTTAGTTGTACTGCTGAAGTTGCTTTCCTAGCTGTATTTCTCTAGAGTTCACGGTGCAAGTAGCACATCAGGGGTTACTGGAAGGAGGTTTGTTGTGTTTTTGCAAAGCCCAGTTTTCTGGAGTTAGGGTAAATGCTCTATGTCCCCAGCCGCTGGGAAGCCTGTCAGCTTTCCTTGCATTTCTTTTCAGTATTTGAGAGAAAACTTCATCGTCCCAGCACAAAGATGTTAGCTTAAATCCCAAAGGCAGAAAGAAGTC